TGCATTGAGGGGTCCCTTTAACTTTGAGGAACTCACGAAACCAGCAGATTTTAGATTGACTATAGCAGGAGAAACAAAATTAGTTTGCTAGTTATTCAGAAATGATCAGTAGCAAATGTAAAAGACAAAGAAATACTACATTTTCAGTAGTCCCAAACACCACCAACACTATTACGGGGTTTAGAGAGAGAGACTTGGAAAAGGTAATGCATGTTTATTCAGACCTGGACTTCACATTCACTGAGAGGTTTTCTTTTTGTGTTTCCCAGCTAACAAGCTACCAGAAAGATATGTGTCATTCTGGCTGGAGAGCAATTGCTGAGGCAAGCCCTCCTTCCTCCTCTACTGTCCCAAAAGAGATCTGGGTCTGACTAAAAACTTACATAGGCAGATCCACCCTGGGACTTCATTTGGACATATATTTTCATCCTATCCCTTGCCTAACAAAGGAAATCAGGGTGTACCTCTTCCACCTCAATATAGACCTGGGCAGGGGTAACCATCTCTTCCAGAAGATACAGTGAAATCAGGTAAAAGACTGTTCTCATGTCTAGACAACTACAGCAGAATTTTTTTTCCTGTCTTATTTTCAGGAAAAGATTTTCTTTCTATATTGAGTAGGGTTCAGCCTTCAGTGTACAGCTTCTTCATCTGCCATCACCAATGTTTAATATATTTTATATATATCAATAACCAGTGTTTATTAAAATTTAAGAATAATTTCTATAAAATGCAGGAGTCACAGATGTAGCTCATTGCTGATTCTTAGCTGAGACAATAAAAGATTAACTTTATCCTTTCAAGTGGCAGATGACATGGAATACAGCCTCCATACAACGGTTTGAAAAATATTGTATTAAATGGATTCAGCTGGTAAAAATTAAATTCTAAAAGCAGAAACTGTTATCCTTCAGCTGGATGGATGTACATGAGCTGTAGGACATATCTTTTAAACACAAATTTATATAAGTATGGTCTTTGTGAAAATGTTTCATCCCATCTTAAATTAGGTGAATTTCTGTAAGTTTTACTTCAAAACAAACACTATAGCCCTTTAAAAAGAAAAATTATGGAAGTCAATGAAAAAAATCTGTTTGTTGAGAGCAGGGGGCTGGTGAAAGCTAAGACAACACTGACAGCGTAAGAGCTGTATTAAAACCTTTGAAGCTCTGATCTATAATGAAAATAATGTGTTATACCATTCAAGGAACATTGTGATTCAATCCTTCTAGTCATGTCCTTCAGTCATGTCGCGCTCACATGTCTACATGGGTACTACTTGTACAATGTGCAGTAAACCCAGGTTCAGCTTTGACTGTAAGTGGTCTGCCCTTGCATTTACCAAACAGAAGTACTGCTGTTGAGACATAGATGCACAACACACGAGCAGACAAAAGTGCACAGCTACATAAAAATAGAGTAGTGATAAATCTTACTACAGTCTTTGTCTAGGTGAAGAAAATGGTAAAACTGTACATTTCACCTGTGAGTGAATGAAAGTTAATGAGAATTAAATATATGTGCATATATATATAAAATTTGTCTCAAAAAAATTTGAAAAAAAATATCTTTTTTCTTTTCCTAGTAGTAGTCAAAGATACAATCCCAATACCAAGTGAACTTTCTAAGTAATTTATCTTATCACTTTATTCATATTTGGTTGGTTGGTTGGGTTTTTTTGTTGGTTTTTTTTTTTTTAATTTTATTGATTGTTTGTTTTATGTTGGCACTGTATGGATCATATTTCCTCTAAGAGTATCTCCATGAGTTTAGAAACATGAGTAGGAAATGGAAGATTTTTGGAATACGTCCATCCACGTCCTCCCTTCCATGGGATTCTAGTTAGCAATGATTCAGTTTAAACCTTGACCAACAATCCAGATATGGCCTTAATTTCTCCAAAGTAACTGAAAGTCACTTTTGCACAGTCACACTTGGTTTTCAGTTGATTCATCATCAAATGAGGTATCTTTTAAACTCTGAAACATAGTGCATTATGGGGAGATTATTTAACCAGTGTTATATCATAGATAAGTATGAGATGAGGATAGATGTCATGTTTGGGTGAATCAAACTGCAGCAAAATGGGACGCTTCCAGTCCCTTTCTATGCTAAACATTTCAAGTACTTTAATTAAAACAAACGGATGTGTATCATCAGTTTGGTTTTTCTGCAGCTCTTGCAGCTCTAATCTCCCTTTGACGAAATAAGAATACTGAAACCATATATCTCCTTTTGTTTACCTGGCCTGATGTAAAATACTAAGTGGCGCCATCTGATCCATTGCTTTACTTATAGCAGCTCAAATATTAAGATTTCCGTACAGATTCTGCTTGTTTATACCGTGTGTGACCCAAGTCAGCGTGGTAGAGCTGAATCTGTGTGGTCTGCAGTCTTTCGCTGTTAGGACAGAAAGCAGTAATTTCCTATCTGTTCAATAAAAGGGAATGTAACCTTTCATGTAACTATTATGATCATACATAGGAAGGATAACTATGTCATATTACAGTAACGAAATAGAAGAGTGAATTACTTAAAGCAGTTTTATGCCTTAAAATATAGCTTTACAATACAACGTATGAAACGGTTTTCCTTTTTTTACATAGCACTTTGGTTCTTCATTACACTTTATGGACAGGAGAATGTTTTCAGAGTAACTTCTGTTCACAAAAAATTACTATTTTATACAAGAAGCATAGCCTCAAGTAATGTATACAAACATTGTAGTCTGCTTTCAGGGTATAACTTGCATGGATGAAAAGTTTCTGTTGTTCTTTTAAAAGTCTGGAAATATATTTATTGTAGTGCTCTGACTTCGCATTAGAATAAATACATCTGGGGTTATTAATCTCTTTCCAAGAGTCAGCATCAGGCTTATAGTCACTTGACAACACCACTTTGATATATGACTGCATTATCAGCCTAACATGTTGGTAAAACTTAGCTGTAAATACAGCTCATAAGACTGAAAATAACATAGTTTCTGAACAATATTGCATTTATTTTATCATCTAAGGAAAAAAAAAAGTAATCTCCTGTTCTTTATTTCATTTCCATTATAAGGAAATGTGACTTTTTAACTTTATTTATTTCTGTTATTTGAATAAACCCAAATTACAGGATCTCTGTTTCTCATATAACAGTATAAACACATATCAAAGCATCATAAAATTCTGATAAGGCGGGTCTTTTGCATCATGGACTTTATATCTCAGTAAGTATAAATATGAGACAGTCTTAAACATTGTTCCCAAATGATTACCTCAGTCCCTGAAGAATTGATTCTTTGGCTTTTCCATTTTTTTCTTTTTTTCTGTCCAGTTTAGGTATTCTAAACTTGGATTAGATCTCTAATAGAAATGATGGCATCTGGAAGGTATTTTAGAACAGAAACTTTGCCAAACATCAGAGGAATGCAACATGTGGACAAAGTGTGCTAACTTTGTTTAGCAACAAGGCACTCTAGATACTCTGTAGCATTAAAACTATTAAAACTTCAAGCCATGCTTTGATGTACAGCACTAGGATTCTGATGCAGAGCGTATTCACACTGAATTAATTTCTTATAATAATATTACTGTAGGTATTAGTGTGTATTATAACTTGATGATAACACTTTAAGGAAGGCTTATAGCCTTGAAAGTAAAAAAAAAATACTATAAATTTACATTTTTACTTCTAGATAAAACACAAGCTTGTTTTGGTACACCATTTGAAAATCTAAGAAAGATTTTTTTGTTTGTGTCAAGGACAAACTAGCTATTTTACAGGAATAAAATCTTGAATTTTTTGTTTAGTCATAAAAAAGGTGCATTTTATCAGTCTACTTATCTTTACTCAGAACAGATATTGGAAATAAAAAAGCAATGAGAAATGCATTCAATAAAGTCACATTCTCAGAAATTTGTATATTGCCAGTAAAAACCCAGAAGTGCTTTACTCAGAAGTCCAGTTTGGTCCTTTTTTCCCATGTTGCTTGTCCTTTGAGTTTATTCTGAGTATACCGTACATTACAGTTGTTGCAGACCAGTACATAGGAGGCAACACATGCCTCTCCCCACCTGTGTGCCTGCATAAATCCTCTTGTGAGCCACCCCAGAACCATTTCCAGCCATTCATCAATTAGGCTACAGAAAGTGAGTAGCAGCAGTTGTGCTGAACGGGATAATTAATTGGAACTTTCAGATACCCTGTCACTTATTCACATAGAAACCCCGAGTCACAATGCTCTGCCTTAATGAAAAAGGTATAAGAAAGTTGCTTAGAAAAAGAGCACACACAAGGATCTATACAGGAGGCACTGTTATTAGGTGAGGAAAATAATTAAGTGCTGTCCTGTTAAGAACACCATGGGTTTTTTCGTTCTCTACAACTTTTAATCTCGATTAATTATTTAGCTTTCATGTTCAAATACGAAGGGAGGAGGAGAGGGACTGAAACAGATGAGTACTGAGCCTTTAACAAGTAAGCTTCAAAGGACTCAGGAACTTGTTTCATAAATGGGATAATGACAGGTGGCAAAGGAAATATAATACTGACAAACGTGAAATCATTTCCATTAAAATGAAGAATAGCAAGCATAGGTATCCAATGCACTGAATGAGAAGAGGATTGTAAGCTTTTCTTAAAGAATTAGATGAATTTCCCCCCAGATGCCAAAATTATATAAAAAAAAATAATTAAAAACACATATTGCCATATATTATCTGCTTTGTCTTATTTTGTACTGATACAAAATGTCAGTGATCCTGGTTATATAAACTGATAGATATATGTCTGAATTTATAACCTTATCCTTTCTAAATCAGCATTTTAATCAGAAAATTAAAAGAAAGAAATAATAAAATTCTTGAAGCTTAGGTTTCATTTCTTCAAAGGAGATTCAGGGCAAAATATCTTAACATTTTGCCTAAGTTCAGGTAGAGTCAGAATATAGGAACTGAAGTCTCAGAGACTACTGAAAACATCAGCTAGCTCCTCCCTCTGGGACGCACACTAACCTGAATGAGTAGGTATTGAATTTCTGTCCAGCTTCTGCTCTGTTCACAGATGGGGCACAAGCCTGAACTCCACAGAGGTTTCATTAGGGTCTGCAGCATAGAGAACACTTGATTAATAATAGTTCAAAATGAAGCCCACTGGTGCTCTGAATCCCAGAAAAGTATATCTTTGCAATCAGAGTACATTGGAAGGTTATTATGGATGCTGTTCATCTTTGATGTTGAAGGTAAGACCAAATATAGGGTTCCCAGGACCAGAGTAATATAAAGAGGAGACAGAACTTTTCCAATTTGCTGGGAGAAGATGGGGAAAAAAGCACAAACTATGGCAGTTTTTCCCATTAATCTCTCCAGTCCATGAGAATAGCCCAGGTGTGTGACCGTAAAGTATACCTTGGGGATAAAATATCTGTTAATCATTTCTTTGTGAAATGGAAGAACAGAAGGAAAAAAAAAAAAAAAAAAAAAAAAAA